TTCACAGCAAAAGTGTCTGATTTTGGAGCATCAAGATTGGTTCCGCTAGATCAAACCCAATTATCTACTATGGTGCAAGGAACATTTGGATATTTAGACCCTGAATACATGCAAACGAACCAATTGAATGAGAAAAGTGATGTATATAGCTTTGGAGTAGTCCTTGTGGAGCTATTAACAGGAAAAAAGGCATTGAGCTATGACAGGCCGGAGGAGGAGAGAAATTTAGCTAGTTATTTTCTTTCGACACTCCGGCAAGGCCACTTATTCCAAATTCTTGATGATAATATCGCAAGTGAAGGAAATAGTAAGCAGTTAGTAGCAGTTACTATGCTTGCGAAAAGGTGTTTATACGTGAGAGGACAGGATAGACCTTTTATGAAGGAAATAGCTATGGAACTTGAAGGTCTGAGACTATCAGCAAAACACTCTTGGGCACAAAATGAATCCAACACAGAAGAGATGGAATCCCTTATTTCTATGGAGCTCAATACCTTCTCCGGTATTGAAGGCAATAGCAAAGGTATTGTGTATGATAGCATGAGGAATGATATAATTCTACCAGTGGGCGGTGGAAGATGATCTGAGGATAAATAATACTTTGTGCCTAAATAGAATTTCTTCCTCATTCTACCAATTTGTCATTTTAAGTGGTCGAAATTTGAAATTTTTTGGCTCCTGTATAGAACATTGGCCAATTGGCAAAATTTATAAGTCATTTATGATGGTCTCGCCCTACATTCTAATGGACCACTAACTACTATCCATTACTCATTTCCATTTATTTTGAAACTAAAACAAAAGAGGGCAATAATTGTAAGTAACTATTTCTTGGGATCTTATATATGTACATTTGTGAAATTGTTCATCTTCAGAAATAGAAGTACATTGTGTAACCGCAAAGAATACGGGTTTCAAAATGGACTAATCCTGTCCAAGTCAGGCAGAACCTGGCCCGTGAAAAATAGCCAAGAACTAGGCATCTCGGCCCATAGCAGTCTGATTGCAGGCTAGACAGCCTTTGAAGGCAGGTCGTGCTAGGTTCAATGCACTGGTCTGTTCAAATGGGCTGAAAAAATAATTAAAATGAGAGCAATAGCTCTAGACTTCCCACGATTCTCACAATATTTTCTACTCGCTTCATGTTCAATTTTGTGACCTATCATGCCGGGTGCTAAACACCAATAGTTATCCGTAGCATTGTTCTGTTAGATAAAATGGATTCACATGTGCGTTGAACCATACATTTCAGCACAGGAACTCATGGAAGACTTCAGCTATGCATATAGCCTCATGAAATAACTTATTCTTCACACTAGGATTAGTATATGATTAATTTGGCCCTTTGGAAAATAATATTTTAATAGAATATTCAATTCAGGAAAGAATCTCTTTGTGTAAAAATTACTTCTTTTTATTTATTTATTTATTCATTATTTTCATTCTATGATTATTTGTTGGTCACCACTGTTGCCAGTCATGATTATGATGGAAGCTTTAGACTACAACAAAATTTCCAGTAATGATTATGATGGAAGTTAATTGGAAAATACCATTTGTACAGAAAAATAGTTTACCACATTCTTGACAGATTCTCACATTCGCGTGGGACCCGAGTGAAAAAAAAAATGATAAAAATTGCTCCCCCCCCCCCCCCCCCCCCCCCCCCGTTTGGCCCCCCCCCCCCTCCCCCTACGAGTCTGTTCTGTCTGGGAGGGTTTGACACCTCCCTGTACAAACAGCAAGGCCATGGACTTAGTAAGAGGAGACTTTTAACGCGTAAGAGTAGACTTTTAACGCGTTAATTTCCATGGACTTAGTAAGAGAAGACTTTGCAAGTTACATAAATGTATCTTATTTTAATATTATTATTAGAGTGCTAATTCTGTACTACAAATACAACCAAAGAAAAATTAAAATCTAGAAGTCTCCATAGCCATGGGATTGCATTTTTTGAAAACCCAATTCATTCTGGCAATTCTGCCTACATTTGTCTCAACATCAATTTCAAGTTCGCGCCCAGATGCCAATTTCCAAATAGCGAAGCCAAACTGTGAGAATCGTTGTGGAAATGTACCCATTCCCTTCCCTTTTGGCACTACCGAAGGATGTTTCTATAACAGGTCATTCCTAGTCACTTGTAATGAAACCTTCAGTCCTCCCAAAACATTTGTAACGAACTCGAACATAGAAATCACTGACATATCCCTGGAGGGCCAATTGCGCGTCCTAAGCTACATAGCGAAAGATTGTTATTATCAGAATGGCACCAGCAGCCTGCGTATTATTTCCTGGATACGATTATTCTGGGGCCTCTCCATCAGTACTGCAAATAAATTCACCGTGGTTGGTTGCGATACTAATGCTTTTGTGCGTGGTTGGCGGTTTAACGATAAATTTTATCGGACAGGGTGTAATTCTTATTGTGGATCCAAGGGGGATTTGGCAGATGGTATGTGCTCTGGTCTAGGCTGCTGCCAAACTTCTATCCCAAAAGAGGTGCGGACAGCAAATTTGACATTGCAGAGCTATGATCAATTCCAAAATGTGTGGAACTTCAACAATTGCAGCTATAGTTTCCTTGCTGAAGAAAGTGCATTCAATTTTACTCCAAGTAGTCTTTCCAGCCTGAGGAAT